TTTGAAAATCTTTTAATAACTTGTTACTTCAACTGATAGCTAAAGGTCAAAGGGGGGCATCGCAAAAAGAATGACAAATTTCCAACGGCATCACAGTAAAAATAGTTTGGGAAGTTCTGGCCTAGATGATAAAACGATCGCAACCTATCAAACTCGGGTTGGATGGTAGGGAGGGTGGTGAGTGACCTTCTGGAACACTTGGTGAAAATTAGAAATACTAAGATAGGAGGGGGGAAATAAGGACGGCGTAGGAAAGACCCAATACAGAATAATAAAATTTGAAGGCATAGGGGTGAAGGTGCAAAGGCTAGAGGGACAAAATTGAAAATTTGAGAAAGCGACTCGCGTAACTTAACCCAAACCTTATAATTTAAAATATTCAATTTTTATCTATTCATGAACGTTAATAAAATTGTATTCGAATAAAATTTATACCTAGGTAAATACAAATGAAAGCACTTCTATTTAATTATGAGATCTTTAAAAATACTGTTGCATCCTTTCTCTTACTAGCACGTTCTTATAATGTGTTAATGGTGACATCCTGAGTAAAAATAAAAAGAATTATAACACTACCGAAATAGTTCCTACAAATTAGACGAAAATTTAAATTCTAAAATTATAGCCAAAATACTACCCTTTGAAACTCTAAAACAGCACCAAACTATCACCACATTAAAAAGATCCGAAAGAGCCCTCAAACAGCGCCTCTCCAAAAAACCTACTATAATGACACCAAAACAGCATCACATACAAAATCATCTAAAACAGCACCAAAACGTACCGTATATAATGAAAATATTGATTAATTAATACCAATTTATCCATCTGATATTTAGATTGTAATTAATTAATGTTAACACATATATACACTTACAGATGATTATNTACTAAATGCGGTACTGTTTCAGTACTCCATTCGTACACAATCGACGGTTTAGCAAACGGGCCTTTACCGGTAATATTTTACAGAAATTTATGGAGCTAGTTTAGTCGTAATTCGGTAGGATGAATTTAAAAAGAATAATATTTACTCGAGACTACTTCTTGGTATAATAAAAATAAAATCCAGTTACAAGGTAAAATTACAAGGTACCTATTTGTAACAGGAAATTAATAATGAGAAAAAATAGTCTTGATCATGCAGTTTTCTTGTGTTGTTTTGGCCTTAAGACTAACAATAAGACGTACTTATACTACGTACGTATACGATCGAAATACCAAGACCAAGAACAAGATTTTAGCAAGATTCTCGCAAAATTTTAACCTAAGTTCTAATACGGTTGCAATTAGAACTTAGGTTAACTTACATTAAGATTTTTTTGTTTTNATTGCAAAAGCAATTTTTCTCACAGTAATTTCCATTTAAATACCCAAACAATATTGGTGCTTGTTTTATGAATTCCATTAATATCTTCGTGATATCACTTTAGCAGTTGCAATCTTAATCGTTATCCATTAAAATGATTTTATATTATTATTATTATGATATATTGTTATTTTTGATGTTTGAATGTTATTTCAAAACATATTATTTATAGCTTATGCTAATTAAGTACCGTTTAATGGTTATTGTATACTGCCCCTGAGAGCTCTTCTAAGCGAACCAAGAGAACAGTCGGCTTGACAATTAAATAATAATTACGAAACTTCTAAACGTACCATTAATCTAAAAGCTTGCTCATCATATTTATATTTAGATGTGATGATTTAACTAATTAACAAGAAAGTATAATAATGCACGAATAAGAAAATCTTACGTGCGATGAATGCTATACAGCCTCCTCTTCTGTCCCAATAAACAGAAACATTAAAACGTTTTTAAAGTAATTCACGCAAAAGGTGTTTGTTGCATAATTTATAAAAATTTCGGTTCTTTTTATTCTACTTGGAAAAAAAATTACGATATTATTTTTATATACCTCTACAGGAATTCAAAGCTTACGAATTTTAATGTTGCAGTACGAGAAGTCAGGCAATTAAATGGTCAGTATATAAATCCATTATCAGTGAGAACCTCAATCAACTTATTTCATTACCAGAAATATACCTTTGAAAAAGTATTCAAATATAAATACAAAATACTCTTCCTTTATCGAGTACTTAAACACAAATATAAGTAGGTAGTTAAATAGGAATACAAATTTAAAAAAATGCACAAGGTATATAAATGTGCAATTGATATAAAAAAGCAGAAATTAAATAATAAACGTTACCTTTAGACAAATTATAACAAATATATAATTAAATGACTTTCTAAAATTATCCATCGTAAAACACTGTCGTCGGTCTGGTAAAACATGTCTATGAACACAAAATGTTCGTTCTACTTCACATAAAAATGGAGCAAATTTAAAATACGGTATGCGATCAAGCTGAATTTCAATACTTTCTGTTGGTTCATGACCTTTTAAAATGCCGTTTATGTGAACTAATTCCCCATCTTGTTATGACAATTTTTAAGAGGTAAAACACTGTCGTCTGTCTGTTAAAACATGTCTGTGAACACAAAATGTTCATTCTACTTCACATAAAAATGGAGCAAATTTAAAATACGGTATGCCATCAACCTAAATTTCAATACTTTCTGTTGGTTCATGACCTTTTAAAATGCCGTTTATGTGAACTAATTCCCCATCTTGTTATGACAATTTTTAAGAGGTAAAAGTACATCTAAAAGTTTTTCATTGTAAAATTGTACTCTAAGGGGAGCTTTAAAAAACACTTTTTTTGATATTCGCAATCAACTTATTTACATTCGGGCATTCTGGTCTGACAACTACTGCAACCCTACATATGCAAATGTCTGTTTCAGTTAAGAAATGAGAATGTACGTTTGTCATTGAATTTCCAAAATCAAATAAAATAATGATGAATTTATATTTAATAGAATTAATTAAGTTAGA